GATCGGCGCGGGGGGGTGTGTTTGGTGGCTTGGTTTTTTTTTTTCAAGCTATCGCGTCTTTTTTCTGTAAGGTTTTGGCTTGATGCTTCCTATTTGCTTTTAGCTGTTTGCGGTGCATTTATAAAACAAAGCAAAAAAAAACCCCAAACAACCCAAAACCCCAAGCCCTTTACAAGAGTGCTTCCTGGATGGAGCTGTGGATGAATTTTCAGTATACATCACTGATACCATTTGATACAAGGTGCAATTTTTCGCGTCTTTTTTCTGTAAGGTTTTGGCTTGATGCTTCCTATTTGCTTTTAGCTGTTTGCGGTGCATTTATAAAACAAAGCAAAAAAAAACCCCAAACAACCCAAAACCCCAAGCCCTTTACAAGAGTGCTTCCTGGATGGAGCTGTGGATGAATTTTCAGTATACATCACTGATACCATTTGATACAAGGTGCAATTTTAAGAGCTGCTCGTTGCTTGAAGTGTTAAATGTAGCTTCGATGAAGCATGTTACAACATCTTGGGGCTGTGAGAGGCTTCTAATAAAACCTGTCAACCTCTTGCTGAGGTTGGTAAGGGGATTGTTCTTCTGTCATAGTTCGAGTGATGGCTTTTTTTCCTTCAGCTGCCTCTGCTGTTAGTTTCATTAAGACTGTCAGTGGAAACTTGTGCTGTTAAGAGACCACTGGTTTCGTTGCTCTGGTAAAATAAAGGTGACCTAAGATGTGGGAACAAACCCTCCTTTGAACAGACACTTCTTCAAATTAGTAAGTGCAACAGATGTAACCAAGAAAATAAACTTTCTATACCAGGACCTGTACCTCTGGGAAAAAGATAATGGAGCGATTCAAGACCATTAGGCCAGATCTTAATTTAGAAGGGAGATAAAGCAAGTCATAAAAATGTTCTTGGTTTCTTAAAACACATTATACAATACACTGGGATCCTCCTGTTAGCAGCTGAGTATTAGTAATTAGAATTTCAGAGAATAATTTTGTAAAGAAAAGTAGTTTGCTCATTGAGTAAAGCTAAATATCCGTGCCAAACACCTTTGTGAATTTTTCTTGCTGTCGTGGTGTTTGAGCTCTGTAGACTGGAGAAGTGTTTTTGTGTTGCATCTGGAATGTAATAGGCACAAAGTCCCAAAAGATCCGAATGCTGTTACTGATGGTGATGGCACTGTAAAATCAGACATGTTCTTTGCGTTGAATTCCTAGGTTTGGTGCGTTAACAAGCTACGTGCTGGTTTTTGTTGCAAAGTTCTAACTTTAATTTATTAAATTATTTGAAAAGCAGATGAAGTGTGCACCTTTCCTAGCTTGTTCTGGTCTTTATTTCGGAGCGCTAGATGTCTTGCAAGCCCAGTTCTGTTGGTGTACTCGCATCTCTCTAGGGGTTGTGACAGTTCTCATTTGGCCTTACACATTCTTATTCTCCTGGTTTTTGTCTGGCTTCTCCAGCTAACGCATCAGCCTTGAAAAGCTTTCATGGTTAAGGACATAAGATCTGAAGGAATTTATGTTTCAAGATTTTTGTTGTTCATTTTAGCTGATTTCTGCAAGTTGGAAAGCAGACCACAGTATAGCTCATGAAGTACCAGGCAGGCTTCTTTTGTGTCTGTCTAATAAAAGATTGTTAGATTTAGGTTATGTATCTGGAGCTTTGTACATGTGTTTCTCCTAATAATAACAGTTTAACTAAAACTGTTCAATTGCATCTTTTAAGTCTCGCCCAGTAGCATGCTGCAGACTTGAGGGTTTTTCCCATGAAACAAATCTAGATAAAGGTTGCAGCCCCCAGTCATCAGTGATGCAACCAGTATTTTGGCTCACATGTTAAACTTAATCTTTGCCGTGCTGCCAGTCTGAAGATTAATGTGTTAGCCTTCACAGGGTTCTCTTAAAAAGAAAACAAAAACAACCCAACAAAACCAAAACAAACCACCCCTGGAATTTGACATGTCTACATACCTTTTGGGGGTTTTTTTGGTTGTTTTTTTTTTTTAACTGTCTCACACTGAAGGCTGGTAGCAGGAGCTCTTGCTGACACCAAGTAAAGCAAGGGCACAAGTGGAGTGCAGGAGCATGTTATTTTTGTAAGTGTCACTAAAGAGTAGTGGAGATGCAGTGCCTGCATTGAATGCTGGCAGGCAGCTCACCTTTATAGTTCAAATTATGTGCTGAAGATACAACAGTCCATGTCATCTGTTAAAAGCTAATGCAGGATACAGTCATGTTGCGTAGTTTCTGTTGGGACTGTATGCCCATTACAGAGCCAACCACGACCTCTTGGCTTATTGTTTCATATATTGGAGTACGACTTGGTAATGGTACGTGCAAGGTTGTAAAGCTGACTCTCTCCTCAGAGTGCTGCGTCCTCCCGGTGGTGGGTCCAACTTTTCTTTGGGTTTTGACGAACCAAAAGAACAACCCGTGCGAAGGAACAAAATGGCATCCAGCATCTTTGGAACTCCTGAAGAAAACCCACCTTCCTGGGCTAAATCATCGGGTAAGAATGTAGTGCTTTGTTTCCAGATCTGCTGACGTACATTCATTCTTTTTTTGTATCAGCCTGAAGCTGCCAGTCGTTCAGTGTGGAAACCAGAGTTCGCTTCTTATTTGGTAGTTTAGGGCTATAAATGATGTCTGCTTGCATGGGATTTTTTTTTTTTATTTCTCATTTTGAATTGCTTCCGGAGAGGTTTTTTTATTCAAGTCTTGGGCATGTATGTTGCAAGCGGAGAATTGTATTTTGGATGCAATTTCTCCAAGTTCATAAGTCACAGTAAGGTGAACTTGTGTCTTTTTGTATTTAGGGTAGCATTGATTGGTCTTGATTAAGCGGAGGAAGTTTAGCTTTGCATTGTATTCACAGCTGGGATTAAGCTTCCATTTTGGCAAAGCATTTCCAGTACGGATGGCCTTGGGACCCTAGTTCCCATCCATTTAAATGGTGCCCTCAGCTGCATGAGGTGCTGTTGTAAGGCAGCAATTTGTGAAAGGACCAGGACATCTTAGAATGGTAATGTTTTAATTTAAGAACCAACCAAACAAAAAAAAACCCAAAACACCCAAATGCCAAGAAACCCTGACTGCGTTCCCAGTAAGTTTATCTTGCAACCTGATTAGACTTAATCTCTGCTTGTAGGGACTAAGCCAGGTGAAATCAGAGAAGACTCTGAATCATCTGGACCACAAAGAAGAAACTCAACTGATGCAAACTGTGGAGACTTTGTAGATCCCAAGGTCAGTACATCAACTATGAAGAGTCTGATAATGGGACAATTCATGCTCTGTGTGTGCTTGCTTGTTCCCACAGTTGGGAGCATTGTAGGATTTGAATCTGTTATTTTCCTGAAGGTTTCCTTTTCCACCTGATAGTCTTACAGTATGTTGATGAAGGGCTGGATTTTTCTAAAAGGTCCACTTTCTAGAGCTCTTAACTCTTCTTACGGATGAGACAGTAATGAAGCGGTGTGAAATCTAGCTTCAGCCATGTGTGTGATTGTGTGTTTTAACAGATTTTACAAACAATAGTTACCTACAACAAATTGTGTAGACCTGTTGACTGACAAAGGACTTAGTTTCACATCCTCAACAAGTACTTACCTCAGTAGCCCAAATGCTTGTTTTGTTTCTGTTACTGTCTTTAATAATACCATCAGGTGTGTTACTCTCTATGTAAACTGTTCACTTGGTAGCAATAGAGAGCAGGATTTGTAGTGTTAACGTGGCGTTTGCTTGATGTAGGATTACATTTACTGGGAAAAACAGGATGAAGAGTAACGATTCCTCTGAACTTAGAAAAACAGGAGCATAGGGTAGACTGCACTTACATAAACAAGTTCGGGGGGGGGGGGAAGAAAAGTTGTTCTCTAAAGCTCTACAGCTTTAGGTTTTCTGAAACGATCTGGGTAGGTAACTTGTTGATCCCAGTTGTTGTGGCAGATACCTTTTGCCTCATGGAATATAAAAAGCAAGTTTTATTTTGATAATTGCCATCGATCATCACTTTAACCCATTTTTGTTATTAATAGACGCTTTGAGTCATCATATTGTTCTTTGCAGAAAACGTCTTGTTCTAATTCAGCAAATAAGTAAGATTAAATTTATATCTGCTACCACAGAAAACAAAAATAAACTGTTTAGTCTAATTCTATTTTCTACTTAATTGTATTAAATACTGTAGTTCTCCGCTTTGTGAACAGATTCTTCCAATGCGGAATACTTTAATTTTATGCAGTAGTTACAGCTACAAACAGCAGAAGCTGGAGCTAATGTACTGTGGCCCAGTCTGAGACTTAAGGCACTGCATTTGCGTGAGTTCTGTGCATTTATATCCTGGTGACTGCAGTTTCACTATGTAATTAACAATGTTAAGTCTGTGAAAGTCGATAAAACCTCATACTATTGAGGAGCCTTGGCTGCTGCTGGAAGAATTCCTGTAGCTTTGTGTCAAGTTGTAGCCTGTGAACAGATTCAGTATGAAAAGAATGTTTAGCTGTTTATTTAGTGAAGGAAACCTTATCAGTAATGCTGCAAAAAAAGGGATCTGTATTTCACAAATGAAGTTAAATAGCCTGGATAGAACAAATGCTCTTGGCCTTGCTAACAGATAAATGTTTGATGTGGGAAAAAGTTGCTGAGTAGGAAGGAGGGAGTGCTGAACTATTGCTAATTGCTTACAGTATAACTTTCTTGTCGCTACTGCTCGGCAGTTACAATGTTCTGGTTACTGTCAGTGCTGCCTCATGAAGGATGCTGTTTATTATAAAGTGCTCTTGCCCACTGGCATCCTTCACAGTGTGGGAATAACAAGCATGCCACGTGCTACAGGTCATAAGGATTTCTTCAGTTAGTATCTGTTCAAACTTTTAAAAGGATGTTAGGTAAATAAACTGCTGATGACATTAAATTAGTCACAGTGTAAGAACTGGTGCTTACAAACACATGATATTAATCTGCAGAAATATGTATGCAGAACCCACCACGCCACTCTGATATCTGTCCTTAAGAGCCAGTTGCTGGTCTAAAAGTGCTTCATTGGGTCTATCACTCCAAAAGTGTTGCTAGATGGAGCAGCGTGCCCAACCACATGGTCATAACGTGGAGTGTTGAGTACCCTCTCGATGGAGGGGGAAAATACATTGTCAAGTGTGAGATATAATGTATTTCTTTCTCTTCTAGGGAGGAGATGGTGGTGGTGAAACTTCTGGTGAGTAACTCCTTCATACTCTTCTAGTAAAAGCCTTTTGCAGTTAGGCACTTTTGAAATAGAAGAGGATATAGAATATATAAATGGTCATGTAGCAGGAGAGAGATAGCTTGGGGTTGTCCCTTGAATCCCTTGAACCAGTAAAGTGACCTGACTACTTCAGGGGAAGCATGGCTATGGAATGAAATGACAGAGTGCCTGTTAGTCATCAGGTTAAAAACAGTCCTGTTCATTTATTTTGCCAGCAGCCATTGGTGTCAAGATTGTTTAAGTACTAGAAGGCAAGGTGGATACTGTCTTGCAAAGAGTTTGGTGATGGAAAGACTATACTGCTGTTATAACGGCTTATAATTAAATAGTATGGTCAACTTAACGGATTTTAGTTTAGCAACTTCTTTCCTATTGTCTTATCGCACAGCAAACACCACATTCACAGGAATAATCAAAACCAGCTACTGCATCTGAAAGTGTCTGCATTAACTAGCTTTTAAGTTCCTGTCACTTTTTAAATGCTGATTTTTGCCAAGGAAGTTCATGTGCATACTGCAAATTTCATGTAAACAGAGGCACTTCCCCTAGCAGCCTCCATGTTAACCTTAAAGTGCTTTTTTTTTCTAGCTCTGAGGCTGAAGTCTCTCCTTTGTAAGATTCACCTTAAGAATAGCTTACTTCCTGGTGAGAGGAATGTGTATGTTGACCAGATACTTTCTAAGTGCTACTTTCAACACCTAAGAGTCCTGGGAGATCGCTAAAGCCATTAGCAGTTCCATGTCCTGAAAAGACTTCTGCTGGGAGGGCGAGAGTTTTTCCAGAATGTTTTTAACTACCTCCTAAGTGCCTCCTGTGCCCGAAATAAGTCTTGCTTCCTTAGCAGGCCGCTTCTAATCAAACTGTACAGGCTGCTTTAGAATTTCTTTCCCATGTCTGTCTGATCTTAATTAGCGCTGTAGGCATTTAGCATTTATGCCTCAAGTAGGAGGATGTGGTTTGATAATAGAAGTAACCTGATCTAAGGGCTCCACTGCTTCTCCTGGTACTTGTTTAAACCAGCTCACCGTGGGGTCAGACGAGAGCCTGCAAGCAATGGTGAGGCAGGAAGAGATGCGGGGAAGCAGAAATAGGGCTGCCTGGGTTAGCAACAGCTGACTGAAACTTTGAGTACAGGATGATATTCCTGACTCTTGGAACAAGTTTCCATTTTCACATGTGTCAATTTGTTGGCTTTTTGTTTGTTTCTGATAGGTGGCAATGAAGGAAGTTCTTACCAAGTACCAAGAAAATGTCTGCGGGGAGGTGGTTTAAAAAAAAAAAAAAAGTGTTACTGGAAAGTAACTGGGGTTGTTTACTGTTATGGCCATGACTAAAAATTAAATTTTTTAAGATGGTCAAGATGAAATAAAAAAGACAGGCAAAGGTCTGAATGTTAAACTTCCACTGATGGTACTTAGGAAGGAGTAGAAAGTTAATGCTTCCTGGACATGGCATCTGTGGAAGATACCTGAGAATTTTAATGAATTGTTAAATTAATTTCTAGTGTTGATAGCTTTGGGTATCAAAGCTTAATGGAGCACAGTCTGATTG